CCTTATAAAGGTGAATTCGCTTACCATTTCAACTAAAAATTTGTTAGCATTGATAAAAACTATTATTTGAGACTATTAGCGTTAAGATTAGAGGATTGAAAAGACATTTTATAAAATTAAAAGACTAAACTAAAACTTTATCTAAAGTTAGAGAAATAAAAATACATTTTTGAATAAAAAAGGTATTGATGCAACTCCAAAACACACTAAACTCAATCCCAAAAAGGTGTATGGATATTTAAATTTGAACAATCTAAATTTACATAGTACATCAAGATATTAAAAGAAATTAATTAATAAAATTCATATATGTTTCATCTATGAATTTTTTTTTTGTGCTGGAAGATTTTTTACTTATTTCTTTCTACATTGATGATAGATTCTCCATAGATGATAGTTAAGTCTATCTTAGCTTCCCCATACCAACAATTACTTAAAAATGCAAAGTGGGTACATCATTTTCAGTACACTGTTTTTCTTTTCCTTCATTTTTCAATTTGAGCACTGTACCATTCATTATATATATATATATATATATATATGCTGCTTTGCAAATATATATATATATATATATGTATATATCTCTTCAGCATGGAGGAGCCTCAAAATCATCATAAGCCACCAAACAACTTTTCTTTTGATTTTTCTGATCTTTCTTTCTCTCTTTTTCCCCATCCTTTCTTGTTTGGCTTTGTTTTTCTTCCTTCCACCGTTTTTAATAAATAATGCCACTAAGATTCAACAGTGAAGAAAACTCTAAAATTGACCATTTCGACAATGAAATTCAAATCAGCTCATTCAATTCATTTATTTGTGTAATTAAAACGCCTTCGAATTCTGGTATTAGTTCCTATCCAACCCAAGAGTAATTATATGTACATAAAATAGGACCCATTATCTTACTTTTTATACTTTGGTCGGTGAGGTTTAGATTGTGACACCATTCTTTACAATAATTCTCAATATAATCCTAAGCATTATTATTTTACCCTTTTTTACTTTGAAATTAATGGAGATTATCATGAAAGGCCTAGCTAGCTAGCTAATCTCTCAGGATTAGGTTTTTTTGGTTAATCTAATTGTTAAATAAAAATAATTAAAAGGTTAGAATTATGGTAGTAATCATGTTTGTTTTGAAGGTTTGAGTTGTTGATAAGAATTCACACAACTTATAAAATGGAACTGTGTTGTTAGGTTTGAGTTCATTAATTCAGGGGTGACCTTGTGTGGTCATTCACATGTTGATTTTATATATTCGACCAATGCCTTTTTTTCCCCTTTTTAAAGACTATTTGTGTTTAATATTTCCACTTGTAATGCTTAATTATGATAAACACAATCTCTTATGTCAAATATTGCAAAAATAAATTACAACACTAAATGCTCAACTGAGATTATTGTGAGTACAAGTTTAAAAGGAAGGACTTATTTCAAAAAAACTAGCCTATTGAAGGGAATAGGAGAGCCATTTATTTGAACTAATAAACCTGTTTCGTTTGTGAAGCTCCTTGACCCATATTCCAAATCAAGCTCCTTGACAATTTAGCCTCTTGCCCATTATAGTCCTTCATGAGTGATCCTCTTAGTGACATCAATTTTTCAACAAAAGTACTAACATTATGAGTAGAAGTCTAGAAATAGTCTATTGAAATTATAACTGCAATTTCACTTGATACTAACATCAATGATAACATTTGTGTCATTGTATATATTGCGATCTTGATAACACCAAAAACAAAAAAACAAAAAAGTCTTATTCTGAAGTGTTACACACACGCAGACAAAAAATATCAAGTTTAAAGACTACGGGAGCTAGAATCTTTAGGATGATATAGGGTTTGGCCACTTAAATTGAATGGGGTGATATGAAGAACACTTGTAGCCTCTTTTCATTGTTTTATATAAGCCTTTCTCACATTCCAAAGTGGCTACATAGTTAGGTAGAGCCATAGGTTTCACCAAAGACCCTTTTTTTCAATCTTTTGAATTTGCACGTCTATTAAAATCTTATATGGTTGAAATATACTAAACACTTCTCTTAAAGTTTTTTTAAATATGGGATTATGATCATTTCGAACCCTTTGTGAAGACTAGAGAGAGTACGATGGATACATGAGTTATGAAAAAGAAAAGAAAGGACTGATCCACTCGTAACCCTTACCTATCAAGGAGAATCACATCACCATGCAATCCATTTTAATATTTATATCACCTTTTTTTTTAATTATAAGGGAAATAAAAAATTCATATAAAAAATATGACAAACAAATTTAAAGGAGCATGCTTCTTGTAAATGTTAAGACATTCTTGCATCCAAACAAGAGAGAATCTAGGTATTTTTTGTGTGCATGAATAATATATATATCTAGGTATTTTAATTAATTGATAAATTTTTTTATTTTGTATCTTACCATTTATTATTGATTCAGCCACAAACATGGATGCATGATTCACTATGCACCAACCTTTAAAAAGGATTTTATTTTTTTAAGATTCATTCACTATCTAACATTATCTATTAATTTAAATTGTGTTGTATTGTCAATGACGAGATAAATCAAGTCTTCTCAACATAACTTTCTCTGTTTAGAATATTTGAGCTCAAATTAAAATCTTACCTTCACCGGATCTAGTAAAAGATTTAAAACAAGAAAGCAAATCTTATTTTCAATGTTGAGGATAGAATAAGATTAAAAAAGAAACATAAATTATTACTATTATTATATTGCAAGAAATTAATGTTTTGGTGATGATATTGTCAATGTCCCCTTCAATCTTTTCTTTCTTTGTTAATGTTCATATAAATCAATGCACTGACCCCATTCCTTAAAAAATTTTCAAAGCATAGCGATGAAAGAAAATTAAATAATTAATACATAAAACAAAAAATAAAATGAATAAAATTTTGAAAAACATCACACCATATGATGACCTACCCGCACTGACAAATCGGTGTTTGTCCATGGTCACAACACTTTTCCTTAATTTCTCCATTACTAAACAATTTAACCAAATTATTTAATTTCATGTTGCCACCACCTAATTGGACATTTTTGTTTTCTAAAATTGTTTTGCAAGAAAACATTAAAATTTGAATTTGATGATCCAAGCTTGATGAACAAAGCAGATTCCAAGAAAAGAAATTCAAAAGCTATCAACTTCTGAAACTTTTTTAGGTATAGGTGGAGATAGATTTCTATTTTAGCAAGGTACAAGACAGGTTTTTATACATGTATTGAATGATAAAAAATTAAAATAATAAATAAATATATAAATTACAAATAAATAATTGTTTGAAATTGTCTACTATAGGACTATCAAAAAACCCAAGCGGGCACAAGAATTGCTGAGCTCTTAACTTCTCCCATTGACTTATATATAGTAAGAATGGAGTGATATATCAATTAGTCTACACTACTTGATGGAAAACGCTACCTAACTTTATTATATATATCTGTGTGTGTGTGTGTGTTTTACGTGAATGATAGCAATGACCCACAAGCCAGCATGCTTTGAGGGTAGTGTGCCATCTATGCTTTTGAATCTTTTAACACCTCCAAGATTGTATTAATTATTTTTAGGTCCCCTAAGATGATGACAAGATAGAGTAAATTAAATAATACTGTTAGTGTCATGTTAAGCATCAAATCAAGAAAAAAGGAAGCAAGAGAGAAGCTGCTGGCAAGCTGGATAGGCAAGAAGAGACCAGATGGTTAAGGATTGTGGGTATCAAAGTCCTATTTGGTAGGAAGCAGAACATTAAATGAGAGTGAAATTAGTTTAAATTGTTTTCTTCAACACAACCAATTTAAATACACACACACGAACTATTAATATCTTGTTCAAACATGACAGATTATATTGTTATTGGGACATCTTGTTGTGACATAATTTTATCATCGATAGTCTAAGGTTATAAGTGGGATCAAACTCACTTTCTCTCACTTGTAGAAGAGTACTTATACCACTAGACTTGAAGTTATTGGTTGCCATGGGCATAATTAGTTCACATTGTTGTCAAGTGATGAGAAGGAAGAAGAAGAATGGTAGCTTTCGTAGGGCATGCACCAATAAGTGGACATAGAAAGATGTGTGTAAGAGAGGGAGAGAGGTAACAAATGTTATTGGTACAGATGTAAAGCTAAGCTAAATGAGGGAAAGGGGCTTGGAAGTTGGAAGTACTTGAGACATGGGGTGAAATCAATATCTATATGATTTCCTGGTTGATTAAAGCAAGGAGGTACCGCTATGATTGTGTTACCATCACTTAAACCACTCTTTATTGTTTTCAGTCCAAAAAAAAAAAAACCACTCTTTATTGTTTTGTTTCCATCCCTTTTTCTTTCTTGATTTCAGAATCCGATATCTAGTACCACTTATTAATTCAGTTCTAAGTTGAGTTAGGCCTCAAATTAAATGTGGGAATTTTTTAAATTTCCATCGTACTGAGTTCGTTACCATATTCCTTAGTTTAGGGCACCAAGGCCATGATTGGAACATTGATGCCACTTTTAATGGGCTGTAGGATAAAGCCCAAATCTCCGAAAACTGGTTGAAGGTATTCGCACGCATGTTTGGAATTGTGACTTTGGCAAAGCCCAAGACCCGGATAGAGACCAGAATTGATCTGAGGCGGACCTCAGGCTAAGCCCACAAAAACCATGCATGGGCTTGATTTAATGGGCTACTCGGCTAAGCCCAAACAAAGCTCAAAAAAGACCCCCTGTTCATCAATAAAAAAAACAGTGGCGTCGCCCGGACTCGAACCGGAGACCTTCAGTGTGTTAGACTGACGTGATAACCAACTACACCACGACACCGTGATGTTCGGTTTCCTTTTAAATTAGTAGTAAACCATAAAGATATAAAATTTTTTCCCCCCCAGCTTTTGCCCCGGACAAATGTCGGTTAGCTAGGCTCTGCTCATGAAGAGGCCGAGGGTGGTAGCCAGAAGCGAAGGAAGCTAAATTGAACGATACAAAACAAGGATGCTTCCGGCGACTACGGTTCCCCAACTCTGCAATTCGATGAGTCTCCTTAATGCTACTCAAACCAACTCAGTTTATTCTCTGGCTTTCACGACCAAAGCTCAGTCATGTTGCCTCTCTGGGAGGACTCTAACGGACTCGTCTTTCATGCCATGCTTCAAATCTCTACAATTTCAGCATTTCTGTGTTAATCTGAATGCGGTATATGGTAATGGGTTTCGGGTGTGCGCTTCGAAGAAGCGAGGACAGGCTAGAGGTGTTGGCATTGCGGAGGCCGACGATTTTGATGAGGATGGTGGGGACAGTGATTATGATTTGGAGGACTTTAGTGATGAGGAGGATGAGGATGTGGACGATGACGGAGTGGTTATGCCGTTTGAACAGATGAGGAAATGGCTGAAGAATAAGCCTCGGGGTTTTGGTGTAGGTAAGGAATATGACACTTCTATTGAGGATAAGCTGCTTGATGAAATACGCAAGAGCAGAGAAGCACAAGCCGCTAATCTGAATCAGCTTAAGAACAATCCCACCATGCCTGGCGTCAAAAAAGATGAAGAGAAGAAAGGTTAGCTTCTGAATTGCCCTTGCGTAACTCAGATATTTTACTCACCTAGTTATGCCTAATGGGGCTTTCAGTATGATATTTATGATGGGATTATCTTCAGATTATGCTTCTTTAAGTGGTTGCTTGAGTAAGCAAATGGTATCCATTTTGCAGTAGTTGGTGGTTTTGTGTAGTTTTTAAGCTGGATATGTATGCTTGATTGAGCATCGCGCTATGTCTTGTGGAGATTGAGAGCATCCCAAATTTTAGAAATGATAGGATTTTCTTCCTTGTATCTTTGTCATCATCTCCTTGGTCTATCTTACCTTAGGCCAATGCTAATTTGCAAGGTTGTTGATTGTGAAGATTTACTGTTTATATTTTCTCAACATGTTAAAACATCCTCCGTGCTATATTCATGGCGATGGAACTTTTGCAGCCCAGGAGGTTAAAAGTGGAGCTCAAGTGCGCTTGGTGAGCTTGCCAAAGAAGAGGAACATCCATAGGGATCTTAAATTTGCTTTCCAAGGGATTCCTGGCATAGTTGATATAGTCCCAGCTGTTTCTGGTAACAAGAAGACCAGGGACCCTGTTTGCAAGGGCTTTGCATTTGTTTATTTCAAGTGCGAAGAGGATGCTGCTAGGTGTGTTCTAACTTCTAACCCCAATCTCAATCCCTTTCTAAATCATGACTTGCATCTGGTTCGTTCCAAGTGCTCTAACCCCTCGATGTTGTTGGGCTTTTCAATAAAGTCACTACATATGCATGCTTTTTTCAAGTCGGCAGCATGTCACAGATTGTTTCAAAAATGCTTTTCGTACGTCATAATTTGATTAATTAATTCAATAGAGACGCTTCTGAAAAAAATGCATCGTAAAATTTTTTTCCCGTCTTCCAAATCTGATAGATGTACAGCATCACATCTTCCTATGGAGTAATAAAACATGATAACGGCCTCTTTCTGAATTTTTGTTGAATAGGGTTCTTTTTTATTTTTATTTTTAATTGATTATATTGCAACTTGATATGTCTCATACAGACCATTGCAATAATTTCTGGGAGATGAATATTTGAATGTGTTGATCTAGCTTTTGTCTAGAACCCTCTTCAAAACATAGGGTTCGGGATCCTTCTGCTTACAATGTTCCCAGAAAGGCATTCTTCTCTCTGAAAATATGTGAATTTTGTCAAAGATGGTTCTCTTATACTGGATAATTAATCCAAGCTTCTCCATGTCATTTTACATCGCTAGAGTGACTAAGAGTTGTATTTACATGGGGATCTATCTGGCATTTAATTATTGCACACCACTGTTATTGTTCAAAATGACTCAATTTGTTCTCGCTGCACCTGTATCTTACAAAATCCAATCCTCGTCCTCTTCACAGGTTTGTGCAACTGTACTCTGGGCAAACTGTTAGCTTTGGTAAAATTCAAAAGCGGATAAAGTGTGAGCTTCTGAATGAAATGTCTCCAGTGTCTGCTAGTCTGGAATCAAGCCAAGATCATACTAATGCAGCTACACCACAGCTCATAGTGCCAGCCATAGAAGAAAGCTCAAATGAGGATTCCAATATGGATAATTCTGCATCCAGTTCTTGGGATGAGACTGCTTCTAGCTCCGATGAATTGGATGCCAAATCCAGAACAGAGCGGGTTGAAGAGAATGAAGACTATGCAGCAACTCTGAATGCAGATGATGCTGATGATGGTGTGGAACTACAGATTGACTCTGAAATTGATTCACCGTCCTTGGAGCAGAAGTCACCCGCCAAACCTAAACGAGCGAATGCTGCTAAGAAAAAGCCACCTTCCAAGGAGAAAGTTAAGAAGGTTCCTAAGTTAGAGGTTTTGGGATCTGCAAAGAGGTGATGAACACCCCTGTGAATTATAGAATGCATGTGACATGATATTTATGTTTACTGATCATGTTCATCCTGTTAATCTGATTTCAGGTTAAAGATAAAGGAGAAGGCAGTTTTAAGTGACGTTTTCTCCAAATACGGATCAAAAGCTGCTTTTGCTTCAAAGGATGGTTAAGGGGAACTAATTGCCATGGCCAAATACTGCTGGGACTAGATCATCACCTGAAGTGTGGACTGTACAAAGAAACAAACTTGAATGATGAATGAGGGATGGGATAGTCTCCTTAGTTCCACGTTGTAACTCTATGTATTAGATCTTATTTCAATCAAAATTTACTGAATATCATGGCAAAAAAAATGTAAATTTAAGCTCAATTCCATTTATTCTGAAATTCTATGAGCTTTTTGCCATTTCGTAAGATTATTATATTTTTTTGGTGAGGCACAATAAGTGATTTCACCGGCAACAACAGCTAATCTCTCTGGCATCAAAGACTAATCTCTTATCGTGAGGGCCAAAGAGTAGATTCCTCCCAATATAAAAGTAACTTTGTCTACTCACCTACGTTAATTTTTAAATATAATATAATATAATAGAAAAATATGCCAATATTTTTATTTTTTTTTAATCCCATTCATAACTTGATTCTGAACTAAAGTGAAACCAGGTCAAGTTTGTTTGATTTCAACGCAAATTACATAAAATGATGCTTGAAGAACAAGTAGACAAATTTATTTTATACTAAAGTGACTAATATATCAATATGCTTAATATACTAATGTAAAATCTTTTGAAAGTTAAATTATTCACAAGCTATTAATAGTTCCTTTGTTCTTAACTGGCACACAACGTTAGTTCTTTTTCTTTTTCTCCTTTTTTCCGCATGCTCTCTCTACACGATGTCTGTTGCGTAGTCATGGAGAATCTGCTCCTATGGTTGCACATGCTTTTTCATATGGGATGGGATTATTAGGTTGGTTCCTTCAACCCCATCCATTATCTCCTGTTGCATTACTCGGGTTTCCTCACTCTTCAGGCACGCGGCGACATCCGTCACTTATGCTTTTTCATATGGGATGGGATTATTAGGTTGGTTCCTTCAATCCCATCTATTATCTCCTGTTGATTTACGGTTAAGGTTTGTGATGGTGGTGTTGTTAGGTCTAAGTTGGTACCGCTAGAGTTTTGACTTTTTTTGTTTTGTTGGGTTTTTTTTGGACCTTTCTAATGTTGATATTTAGTTTACTTTTTTTTTAGCTAAAGAATAAATATCATTTTATTGGAGGCAATTATATTTGAGGATCCTATTTAGTTTACTTTAATAAAATGCAATTGCTCAGAAAAAAGATAGGATAATCAATTATGGGCCATAATATTTGTAATTCATATGTGATAATTGATAATAAAATTTCTATTGCATATTTTTTTTTGGGTAAAAATATTATATGGTTGGTATAAATATTGATGTTGGGGAAAAAAATAAATATTGATGTAGTAATTTTGGGCTTACGGAAACCGAACAGGCCCATGTTTTCGACCAAACAAATGCATGTATTGCCGAGAGTCCACCGTTAGAGAAGCTCCCTTGCTGCTGCTAGCTTCACTGGAAGCAAGCAAATGGTATGAAACTAATTTTTTCACGCGCTGCTAATTTTCAATGCGCCTAGGCTATGGTTTATGTTCTACTCCATTTTCTCGGCAACCAACAGAATCCCCGTGATGGGGCTGGAATTGGTATGAAACTAATCGTTGCTGACTGCAGGACCACGACGGAAAGAGTGGGGAGCTTAAGAAAGGGGCAGGGATGAAGGAAGGAGTGGGAACGACAGGCGGGGCTTGGGGTCGAGGTGGAGGGTGGGGCGAGAAGAAGAGAAGAGAGTGTGGGAAATGGGCTGTGTGTGAGCCGCCGAAAAGAGACTGGATGGAGTTTTGGCGCTAAAAATAAAAATTTAATTTTAAAAAATTAAATAAATTGAGGGGCCTATGGGAAAATTTTAATCTCAAAGCGGAAATGAAAATTGGTCAATTGGGCTTTGGGCTTATGGATTAGCTTCTTCGGGTGGGGTTGGGCTTTAGCTTAAGTAATGAGATCTGAAATTATGAAAGTTGAGTTATGAACTTATAAGAATTGAATATTGATAAATTTAAATATATATATATAAATTATTAAATGGTGTTGTTGTGCTCTGTATACAGTTTAACTGTATAATTTTTATAATTTTATAAATTATAAAACTTAAATTAATAACTTAAACCTAGCTTTCATATACCTTCATCAAAACTTACTCATATATTTAAGATTTGATTACGAATCCTCCTATTGGGTACAATACTAAAATGTGCGTGTATTATATGTAACTGTCCAGCTCATCATTGAGCACTTTGTTTAACTAATAGGAGTTTGTAACTTCTTAATTAAAAGTGTGGGTCCAGATCCTGAAAATATAATCATGTTAAATACCAACTTGACAGGACTAGTCCCCACATTAAGAAGTAAGGACAAAAGGGTAGTGTATGCTTTGAACGCTGGCTACGCTGTACTAATTTAAAAAACAAAAAAAAAAGAAAGAAAAACAAGAAAAAGTATAGGGAAAATATCGTTTAAGGACCACAGCACACAATTAATCTCAAACTGCCTCCAAAACTTTTTGAAACCTCACTCAGGACCAAGGGGCCAATTTGATATTAATTCCACAAACAAAATGACGTTGTTGCCCCTCATTAAACTTCCCCTGAAATTTGAAAATAAGGGGCCAAAATACAATGGTCAGATAGTCCTCCCTCTCTCTCTATCTCTCTATGCAAAGGTGATCCCACTGTGTGAAAACTTTTCCCTCTCCCGCTCTGCGAACGTGCAACCACTTTGGGAAAACTATTTCCTCTCTTGGTCTGCCAACGTGCCACCACTCTGCGAAAAATCTACCGTCTCCCACTTGCGAATGTGCTACCCCTGTGGGAAGATTCTTGCCTCTTCCAATCTGCCAAAAGTGTTGGATGTGCACCCCAAAAATTACGTCACCCTCATTCTGTGGGTTGGTGGTAGTCACTACAACCAAAAGGAAAACAAGACGAGGCAGACAAAGGAGGAAACCTGCAAGGTTATTGACAAAGAAGGAAGAAGTAGCGCGAGAAGAAGTCACTGATTTCCTTTCGTAAGCTTAGCGGTCCATATTAAATGCAATAGATTTGTTCGATTCTATTTTCATGGTAGGTTAAGGAAGAATGACCCACTGAAAGGTGGGTGTGTTTGGTAATGATATTTGGGTTCTAACTGAGGAATGGTTACCAATGTGTGATATAGTGTTCGGCCGTAACCCCCTTTGCCCTTTATCAAATCCTCCTGATTTAGTGAGAGAAGGCTTGTGAGTGTAGCGTTAAGAGTTTGTGTGAGGGTTAAGTATAAAATTGATGATGAAGGGAAAAATTAGTCTTGGTAGTTAACTGTATTGCTATAGTGTTTGTAGGCATTTTGCAGGAATTAAAAAAAGAATTGGAGTAACTGTTGTGGTATGGATTAGGCAAATGAGTTTGTTTTCTTTGGTTTATCCTGATCATTGTTGGAATGTGACATTTAGTGGGCTAACAATGATAGTTAGTCAATTGATGTGAAGAATTAGTTGAATAACCACTTGTATGTAAGAATGTCTTGTTTGCTGGAATATGTGAAGTTAGACAATTTACATGAAGGATCAATAAATCACCCACTATGCTTGTTAGAATATGATCTGTAGTGGTCTCACAAGAGAAATTAGGCAGTTGATAGGAGGGATTAGGGGATTATCCACTTAGTTGTTGTGTAACGGTTTCATGTTTGGTGGAAGCTGTCAAGTTAGGCAATTTACATGAAGAGTCAGTAAATTACCCACTATGTTTGTGGGAATGTGGTCTGTAGTGGCTTGATAGGGAAACTTAGGCAATTGACACGCGTGATTAGGGGATTTTCCACTTAGTTGATAGGTAATGGTTTCATGTTTGCTCCCTATCAAGTTAGGCAATTTACATAAAGAGTCAGTAAATTAACTATGTGCATTACAAAAATTCATGTTTGTTGGAAATTGATCTGTAGTGGCCTTAGAAGGAAGATTAGGCAATTGACACGAGGAATTAAGGGATTATCCACTTAGTTGGTGTGTAATGGTTTCCCTATTTGCTGGAACCTGTCAAGTTAGACAATTTATATGAAGAGTCAGTAAGTTACTCACTATGTTTGTGGGAATCTGGTCTACAGTGGCCTGACAGGGAAAATTAGACGATTGACTCGCGCAATTAGGAGATTATCCACTTGGCTGATAGGTAACGGTTTTATGTTTGTTGGAACCTGTCAAGTTAGGCAATTTACATGAAGAGTCAGTAAATTAACCATGTGCATTATAGGAATTCATGTTTGTTGGAAACTGATCTGTAGTTGCCTCAGAAGGAAGATTAGGCAATTGAAACGAGGAATTAGGGGATTATCCACTTAGTTGGTACGTAACAGTTTCCTGTTTGTTGGAACCTGTCAAGTATTGTGATTTCATGTGGGTGCTTTTTCGGTATAATGGCTCCACGATGTTAAAGTAATTGGTTACCTCCCATTTTACTTCTCTCAAAAATGTGTTTTTATTGTGATTTCATGTGGGTGCTTTTCCACACAGTACACTTGAAAGGGAACTTGTATTCTGATTTCATGTGGGTGCTTTTTCACACAATACGCTTGAAAGGAAACTTGTCGCACTTTAGCTTTTGAGTTTTAATCAAAATTGCCTAAAGAGGAAATTCATGCATGCTTTTTTTCTTGCCCAATGTGCTATAAGATATGTTAATGGGATTTTTTTAATTTCATGTTGACAAGTCAAAGATGAAGCATTACTGCACAAACACAAACATAAGACCCTTTTTGTAGTGTAAATTACATTACAAAATAGGTCTTATATTTAGAACCAAAAGAGTAATTCTCCCATTGTACTACAAAAATATTATTTATTCTTTCACTGTCAAATGTGATATAAATTTTGTCTTATATCAGGTCATGCTTGGGCCGGGGAATTTTTCTATGGTTCAAACGCTTCCTCTTTCCAAATATATTGCCACCAAAATGATATATATTGACTATAATAAGAATTAGGATAGTTGACTATTATGTGTTGATAGGTAAGATGTATTAAGACGAAATATTTGTACGAGTAGTAATAAGCATAGACTTTTTGACCCAAAAAAATTAATATGCATAGACTAATATTGAAATAGTAAAAGATCATATTAAGTTGTATGCCTTTTTTTTAGCCGGGAGAAATAGCCAATACGGTGAGGAATGCTTTGCAGTAACAGTGGAGTCGTAAATTTCAGAAAGCGAACCCATAATGCTGTACAAAGGTGAATGCTTGCAAATGGAGACAGGAGATTAAATTTTTTGCTTTTTGTTCATGTTAATCTTCAAGT